AACTTGTTTTGATGACATTTGTCAAAGAGGACATTTCACTCACTTTGGAGAGATTTCCTCTCACTTCCTGTTGTGTCTAAAGGATAGGAAATTAAGGAAAGTTGACTGATTGGACAAAAAACAGAAAAGCATAAAAGGGATTCCCCACCGTATCCAAAACATAAAATGCGGCTTTAGATATCAGCACAATATGGATTTTGACTGGGCACTACAGGTTGCTGCATTTAAGAATTAGCACAAAAGTAAAAGAACTATTTAATGAATAGAGCTGCTACTTTTTTAAATTTGGCCTAAATGCTGGGTACTGTCTGTAACTTGTGCACTAAGCTGTGCCTATAGAGCTGGTGAATTTTGTTATTTTTTTACAGCTGAAAATTCAAAAGGTCCTTGAATGTTGAAAGGCCAGGAGAACTTTGGTGTGCTGGACCATCATTATTTCATTAGAGGCTTGTTCTTTGTTGGAAAAATAAAACGCTATTGTTGGCATGCTGTTAATGCTTGCTAATGGGCTTTACCAATCAAAAGAGCCATTAGCTGTCACCCACAGTAAATAATTACTGTGTGAGTCCATAAAGGGAGCTCGCTCTGATCTGGCAAGCTACAGCTGTTCCACAAAACTCTTAAATAATATAAAAGCAACAGAAGTATAGAAGTGCTTCCATCTGTGCTGAATTAGGCAAAGCAGTTGTGACTTTGTACTTCACATCCAGTAGCTAAAAAACAGAAAAATCCAGCCACTAAAAGAATGAAGCTATTACTATCATTTATCTGTAAACAAGGTGAAAGGAGAGTAGAATGGCATTTTCTAGTGCTTCATTGTATGCAATTGTCTCTATTCAAAGAAAACAGTGTTAGTACAACCAATTAATATTTTAATCTGTTAATGGTTTACTATAGCTCAATGCATTCAACCATGCCAAACAAACAAAATAAAAAAAAATGTACTTATTACCTTTTTATGAAATTTGTAAAGTGTTTGAGTACACTATCCACAGTTTCTGAGGAATGGGATGGGGAAGGGGGGGGTGCTTGTCTAGCTCTACACATGTGTCTGCAGACTGAGACATGTGTTGTGCTGTCAATCACTGCAAAGAGGGCTGGACTATGGCATGTCAACCTGTGACAGGCTGAATACGGGACTGCAGAATTATTGTACTTTTGCATGGTACCCTATGTTCCCTTTCAAAGATCCCTGCAGAAAAAAATAAATGAGAAATTGTTCACACCATTACTAAATATCAAAAGTATGTCATTAATAACAAATACAAAATGACAAAGAGACAAGAAAGGCCCTGATAATCATAACTAGCCAACCCTACCATGTATTGCCCTCAGCCAAATACAAAATACAAAGACATCAGTCTCCTTTTCAAATGTAAAACAACTTGCCAATAAGGAAAACCTGGCTTCAAAAGGAATGGTGGTGTAATCACACCACAAAAACAGACATGCTAAAGATTAAAAATCAGTTTTTAAAAAATATTTTAATAGGTTTACACACACTTTAAATAAGTACATGATGAATTCTGATTGCACTTAGGAATTTGCAAATTTTTATTCAATAAGGCCAAACCTGTAAATCGGCAATAACAGGACACCCCTTGCTAAATTGGTCAGTGCCAGTTGTTTGCATATGTGTAATAAAGTAATATTAAAGGCTCCATATTTTTTAAATAACAAACTTGTCATACATACTTGCTCTTTGCAATGGTTTTGCACAGAGCAGCCCTGATTCTCTTCCTTTCAGGGTCCCCCTGCTTGCAGTCCTGGCTCCTCCCCCTTGAGCAGTGCCCCCAATATCAAGCCGCATGCTATGGGGGTACTGGTGCATGCTCACTCATGAGCCCTGCTCTATGTGTCCATAAGACACATAGAGCAGCGGCTCAGCTCCACTGCCCATTCTCTCCTCACTGGCTCACTAGCTGTGATTGACAGCAGTGGAAGCCAATGGCCTTGGTTCTGTGTCTCAGCCAATGAGCAGAGAGAAAACCAGGACAGTCGAAGCTCCCACACACATCGCTGGATCAAGAGAGGGCTCAGGTGAGTATTAGGGGGGGCTGTGGAGGGAGCTGCACACAGAAGGTTTTTTTACCTTCATGCATAGAGTGCATGAAGGTAAAAACCTTCAGCCTTTACAACCCCTTCAAGTAGGTGTTTCTGAGTGACAGCATGAAAAGCTGATTGCATCAGATGAACTTTGATTACTGAGTTTAGTGTGTACTGGCACTGGTATACTTGATAAGAATGCACAGAAGAATATATTGTGAGTTTGAAACCCATATACAATGGAACAATGGAACCGTAAAATAGGTCACTAACAAGTATTACCACAGGGCCAGCAGACATTCCCAGTAATGCAAAATCTATTACTATGTCAAGTATTCTGAATACAGGCAATCACACTCAGGATGGAATACCCTGCCCCTCACTCAGATCTTTGTGTTTTACTCCCCCTCTTGTCTCTTGCGCTTGCCGCTGGCACAATACAGTGTCAATGGCCTTGAAGGTTTTAAAGACTGTTGCTCAGTACCCTGTATATGGCTTTCTACTCTTAAAAATGCACTGGTATAATTTTTGCACAAAAAGTGGACACTTTTCTGCAAAATGAAAATGTGATATGATCAAAATTTATGACCGCTTACCTGCTGAGAAGTATCAGGGATTTTTCCATACTGCAAAACTAATAGGTCAGCTGATCTGTCCAAATTGCATTCTGGAGTATGGCAATGACTCCAAACACATGTCCAAAATCATAAGAAAAACTCTGCAGCAAGAAGAGGGAATCCTGCAGTAGATCAATTGGTCCCCAGAGCCTTCAACTCAACATGATTGATTGGGATTATTGACCAAGAAAGCTTCAGGTACCTCTCCAGACCCCATCCCAAACTTCCGTATTTGTGTGGTTGAAGGTATTTTTGTAGCTTCTCCAAGTGTTTTGGAATTTGCCACAATTTTACTGTTAACTTTTATATTCATACATACTTCTGTCTCTGCAAGTAATTTGGGTTTGGTCAAGGAAATCCAAACTGCCGCACTCAAGTCCAAGTGTCATACAAATGAAAGAGGCTTTAGCACGACTCCATCTAGGCCATGCCTCTGATCAATTTGCCCTGCCTACAGGGATTACCCATGACTAAGCTCTGCGGGTGGGGTGAAATGCATCAACAGGCGTGACCTGGATAGAGCTGCGCTGAAGTTGCTTTCATTTGTCTGACATTTGGGTTTTTTCAGAGTGCGGTGGTTTGAATTACCTTGAGCAAGCTTGAATAACTTAAAGAGAAAGAGTCATGTATGATAATAATGTCTACTTTGGAACTGTGGCAAATTCAAAAAGACTTGGAACCACTACACAGATACTTTCAAAACCACATGTACTGCACCTACGAGAAATTTACTGTTTTAAAAGCAAAGAGAGGTCATACTAATCAATTTTTTCATGCATTTTTTTTCTGATTTCTGTTTTCTGTTCTCCTAGAAAGTGCTTTTGAATAAAATCTACTGTATTCATGTTATTCCTTTTCTTAAAGCATTATTGATTTACAGCATCTCAAACATTTATATGTGTGTATATATTGTATACTGTATATATATATATACACCCTTTCTATGGCCAAAAAAGATGCATTGCATCTCTTCAGAGTCCATTCCGAGTTTTTCATGATTTTCATGTGCGGTGGTATTTATTAGAAGAATATAAGAAATCTGCCAAGTTTTACTGTGCGTGATTTCCTCCGAGGCTTTATTAAGCCTTCAGCTGCAGAGTGGACTGGCAAACACTGCAGTATAATATATTAAAAGTTTATTCAGGCAGTAGAATGTTATTTTATTTAAAATTTATAGTGCTCACAGAAAGAAAAAATTGTCAACTGTCAACATGAGCTAGCAAGCTGATTTTAGGTGCGCAATCTGTCTGCCCTGTGTGACATAACTGAACACACTACAATCATACGGTAACATTAGATTTGACATGTTCTACAATATAATCGACCTGCATACTTTCAGACAAGCATTGCAGTGAACTGCATACTGAAAATAATTCTATAGGCAACACTTTTCCAAAGCTTACGTGCACCTCTGTGCTATTTATCAATGGTCTCACTATTCAAGCAGGAAATCACTCATTTATTCTCTATAGTAGGAATGAGTTCATGCTATTAAAACACTGCTGCATTTTTTAACACATGTTTTAGTTTTCTAAATAGTAATTGTCAACCATTCGACATCAAACTAATATTGCATATGGAATACAACCAATCACAAAGAATATCCAACAATGTAAAATAGACTTTGAAAGTAGTAATGAGGAATATACAGTATATACACTATATTGCCAAAAGTATTGGGGCGCCTGGCTTTAAATGCACATGAACTTTAATGGCATCCCAGTGTTAGTCCGTAGGGTTCAGTATTGAGTTAGCCCACCCTTTACAGCTATAACAGCTTCAACTCTTTTGGGAAGGCTCTCCACAAGGTTTAGGAGTGTCTCTATGAGAATGTTTGACCAATCTTCCAGAAGAGCATTTGTGAGGTCAGGCACTGATGTCAGACAAGAAGGCCTGGCTCGCAGTCTCCGCTCTAATTCATCACAAAGGTGTTCTATTGGTTTGAGGTCAGGACTCTGTGCAGGCCAGTCAAGTTCCTCCACCCAAAACTTGCTTATCCATGTCTTTATGGACCTTTAGTTTTGCACTGGTGCGCAGTCATGTTGGAACAGGAAGGGGCCATCCCCAACCTCTTACCACAATGTTGGGAGCATGAAATTATCCACAATGTCTTGGCATGCTGACACCTTAAGAGTTTCCTTGACTGGAACTAAGGGGCCAATCCAATCCCTGAAAAACAACCACACACCATAATTCACCCTCCACCAAACATTACACTTGACACAATGCGGTCAGGCAAGTACTCTTCTCCTGGCAACTGCCAAACCCAGACACATCCATCAGATTGCCAGACAGAGAAGTGTGACTCATAACTCCAGAGAACACGTCTCCGCTGCTCTAAAGTCCAGTGGTGGCATGCTTTTCACCACTGCATCCGACGCTTTGCATTGCACTTGGTGATGAAAGGCTTTGATGCAGCTGCTCAGCCATGGAAACCCATTCCATGAAGCTCTCTACACTCTGTTGTTGTGCTGAAGACCACATGAAGTTTGGAGGTCTTTAGCTATTGACTGTGCAGAGAGTTGGCAACTTCTGCGCACTGTGCGCTTCAGCATGTGTTGACCCCGCTCTGTCATTTTATGTGGCCTACCACTTCGTGGCTGAGTTGCTGTTGTTCCCAGTTGTTTCCACTTTGTTATAATACCACTAACAGTTGACCATGGCATATTTAGCAGCAAGGAAATTTCACGGATGGACTGGATTGCACATGTGGCATCCTATCACGGTACCACGCTTTAATTCACTGAGCTCCTGAGAGTGACCCATTCTTTCACAAATGTTTGTAAATGCAGTGTGCATTCCTAGGTGCTTGATTTTTTACACCTGTGGCCATGAAGGTGATTGGAACACCTGAATACAATGACTTGGAGGGGTGTCCCAATACTTTTGGCAATATAGTGTATATATTTAGGGAGGGAGGTTCCTCAAGATGTCATTACAATAAAACATGTAGGATGTAGGATGTATGGACCTCAGCCTGAACAGTAGCTTGCTCACTTGCAGCCTTGTCTAAGCAGCTGGAGCTGGCAAGGCCGTAAAGGTCATATGCAGTTAATCCTTAGTGTTAGGGCAGACACCTCAGAATACAAGTGCATTTTTTGATTCACATGTTTTTGTAAGAAGGGTTTACACAATGAAGCTCTTCTTTATCTTTTGCTTATGGTCTCCATTGATGAGGTTGGTGGATTAAAGAGAAAATCAGAAATGGTTTAACCCCAAAGCAGTTGGAAAAGAGTGGATCCTGTACCTGGGATAGTGACAAGATCTGGTGATTATCGTATAGGTCAAGGAAGAAGATGAGTGTATTGTACACCTATTTGGTGATGGGAAGCACCATGGATTAGTATGCACGGTTGTAATGCCTATGAAATGTGTTGGCCTTGGACCCTTTATTTCTTGGGTAATTTTTACAATAAAGCATCAACACATTAGACTTCTTAAAGCAAATAAGAAGTGTTTGTGGGATAGAACGTGTTTGTGGCATCTAGAAATGTTAAATTGCACAGCTTACATTAGCGAAAGAACTTGTTCATACAATTAAAGATGTCTACTTGTTTGAGAAGTTAGAAAGATTTAATTTTAGGGTAGATAAGAAGCTGATCTGAAGCAAAAGTGTGATATTCTTAGATAAACATTGTTTGTTAGGTATAGTGGCTGGGCGTGACTCTGTTATCCTCACGGAACCTTTCTGCTAGCTCCTCCTAGATTGGGTGTGGTGTCTGCCCACTTTGGGAAAGCTGCCAGAAAAATGGTTTAAAACAGGAAGCTTGTGTGTGATCAATGGGGAGCAGCCTTCCTATGCAGAAGAGAATTCTCTGACGCTGGGACTCTTGCCAAGGCTATATGGGCTCATCGATTGGTCGTGTTTAAGGCTTCCCCACAACCCACTGTGCATTATGGCTCCAATGGGGTCTGTTCCTTCCCATCTTCCCATAGCTTTGGTAATGTATTAATTCTATGCTGTGACACTGTCAAAAGATGTGTCTATTTCATGCTGTAATGCTCACATTATTATTGGTGTGTGTTATTATGCAGATTGTGATGACTATAAGATATATCTTCCTGTGTGTTGTGTGATAATAAAAGTGGAGATTTTGACAGTGCAAGAATATTGCAGTTGGATTCTGTTATTTCTTGGAGTGCTGAGTGAATGCTATGATGTGCCAAGGCAGGTGTTCAACTGGTAGTGGGTCTTTCACATGCTTAGAATAATTAATGGTGTAAATGGTGGTTTAATGTACCTGTGTGTGTGACTGTGTATTGTGTGTATATGACTTGCTTTTAGTTATTGCAGCCAGCATTGCATTACAACGGTGGAGAAATGTGAATATTGGATCACTTTATTTTGGCGCATACTTGATTTTTCATTAATGTGAGTGCATATGCTTAGCTCATTTAGTGCATAGTTCATTTAAGTTCACTATGGAATATATTTTGTTGTTTCATGCATGTTTGGAGTCAATATTAAATGAAGATACATTCTTTGGAGGGAGTATCACATGGATCACAATTTGGAGGACACATATTCCATTTAAAAAAACGTATTATAATTTGTAGGTCGAACCATAAAGTGAGTAGGGAGTGGGTCCATAAAACAAGCATGCTGTGGAATTTTGGATTATAGCACAATACTAGGACTTTTTTGTATTTGGGATTAGACTATGATATGTTCACGATTGATTGATTGATTGAGGATTGCAATATACAGTATATTGTTTGCTTGTATTTTTATGTTTGTAATCAGGAGCACTACATTTTTGTTTATCTATATTTTGTAAGTGAGAGTACACTTGGTGAGTGGGTGCAGCAATCTCCTCCTCCTTTCATTACGCTTATGGTGTAGCAGCGCATGAGTTTATACTATTTCATTTAAAGATCTGCTGATTGACTCTGCTGAGTTGTTAGCTTGAAAGTTTGAGGACATGAGGTGTGCGCACCATTGGTTGAGAAGGATATACATAAATTCTGATATAACCACTTCCCACTACCACCTCCCGAACCTTTAAGAGGCTCTAAATGCCTAGAGGCAGAGGTGGACATCCCATTTATGTGATCGCTGTGATTGACAGTCACCATGGTCACATGATCACAAAGCTCCTAATCTCAAGTAGTTTTCCGGTACTCACCAGTAAATGTTCTGGGAGTGTGCAGGGCACGTGCTCTGAGCACAGAAATGTTTACATTTGGGACGTATATATGCGACCTCTCAGCGTTAAAGCCCACCCTCAGAGAGGCTGCATATATACATACAACCAGCGAGAACAGGTTAAGGACCAAGCACTTTGTGGATGAACTTTTATTGCACTGGACTATGTACTGTAGATTGTATGAATATATGATAACACTTGTGCACTTTTGACGCATTGTGCTTTATTTTAGTCACTCCTTTTTTTTTTTGTGGTTTGATATTTGTCATGCATTTTGGTGTTCTTGATGAATTAATACATTTGTAGATATGAATGTATTTATTTAATCATGTACATAAATACATGTATAAATTATTAACTACCCAATCAGAAGAAGCTGACAAATACTGCAAAACACATTGAGAATATGGGTGTTAAAATAAGGATTATATTAGTATCAGGAAAGGCGGAATTTGCTCAGGTGCATAGTTATGCGCAAGTGCAAAATTCCTGTTAGCCATAGTCATGTGCAATAGCACACATGTTCACTCACGCCCACCACTGAGACAGGCGCCAAGCGGGCTATTTCAACAGCATTGATGCACAAGGACATTGTCTTATGGTCTACAGCAGTGGTTCTTAACCTGGGTTCGATCGAACCCCAGGGGTTCGGTGAGTCAATCTCGCGGGTTCGGCGGAGGTGAAGACCCACACCTGACTCATATGATTCGTGCAGTAAATATTCATTATTATGTTTTTGTTTTTGTGTGAAAATCATGTTTTAATGGTTTTGTTCTTTGTTCTTAATGGTTTTGTTCATTTTGTGCACCTATGTATAAATATATACCTAAATATATACCTATGTTTTGAATTTGAAAAATCATATTTTATTTTTCCAGTTAAGAAGGGTTCGGTGAATGCGCATATGAAACTGGTGGGGGTCAGTACCTCCAACAAGGTTAAGAACCACTGGTCTACAGCATTTCTTGCATATCTGCTACCTGTTCCTTTATATCTGATCTCCTGTTGTCGATCTTATCTGCCTTGACCGCACTTGATCTCTGCCTGTACTGACCCCTGGCTTGCCTTTGGACTATGGCTCTGCCTGGTCCCTCTGTCTACCTGTCTCACCATTGCCGACTCTGGCCTGGACTCTGATTACTCTCTTGTCTGCTGTTTTGCCTGTCAGTTATTGACCCGGACTGCATGACCTTGCACTGTGCCCTGAGCCTGTGGTTACCATCTTCACTCAGCCATCCTGCAGCCTGCCCAGTGCCTGCTGTCAATCTGCCAGTGACCTGCCAGGCTGCCATCTCTGATGCTTGACATCCACAGTCCAGCCTGCATATGGGTGTACACAGACAACCCATCTGCATCTGTCATCTCAAGAACTGTCAGATACTTGTGCCACTCCTGGCTCTCATGCCTCCTGTCACTTTACCAGTGGTACTGAGCTGGAGGTGTAAGAGATGCCTACCTCTCCACGTCAGGCTCCACCACCAAGTATGTGGCTATTGTATCTGAAACTGTACACTAGTCTTTCTGGTGCTATATTTGTCATTGTATATTATGATATCTTTGCATTTTTATGAATTTTGATACATACAGTATATATATATATATATATATATATTATATATATATTGTGGGAACTCGCTTCAAAGTGGTAGAGCTTTTAAACGCACACAGCTACTCGCTTATTTTTCAAGGCCTTTTTTAGCCCACTTTTATTTAAATGACAGTTCAATAACATAAGAGGTTCCCACGCAGGGGTATCCACCATCACACAAAACACCGATTCAGCCTCCTGGCTTATACTCAACTTGATGTCTGTCTCCTGCAGACTTCTTCAAGACACGGCTCTTGCACGCCGCTAGCACACAGCTAGACTCTAGCAGCCCCTTGCTGCTTTTGGCTTCCACCTCTCCTAGGTGAAGCCCACCTGACTTCCAGGCAGTGACCTCCTGTCTTCCAATTGGAGCCCTCCTGACTCCTAGCTGCCGGGGTGGAGCCCTGCTGACTCCTAGCTGCCGGGGTGGAGCCCAGAACCCTGGTCCTGACTCTCTCTAAAGGCCTGCACACACCTGTGCAATCAGTCTCCTGGCCTATCCCAAAACCTGGTCCCAGGATTGGAGATTTCATCCCTCCCAGATCTCTTTGAAATCTCCAGGCTCCAGATCCCAAAACAGACCTTACAAATAGAGATGAGCGAATCGAACCTGGCGAAGTGGAATTCGTTTCGAATATTAGGAAAAATTTGATTCGCGCCGAATCCGATTATTAGCAAACTTCGGATGCGCGAATCGAATTTTCCCCGATCGGCCGATTTTCATCCCTTCTACAGCCGGCAAAAAGTGTCCCTGCAGAGAGCTCCGCTATTTCTGACAGTTCTCTGACAGTTCCTTCACATTTACAGCAGTTGAAACATTGTATCTATTTGTTTCCATTTAGGATACAGATGTTTTTATTCGGAAACAAATAGATACAATGTTTCAACCGCTGTAAATGTGAAGGAACTGTCAGAGAACTGTCAGAAATAGCGGAGCTCTCTGCAGATACACTTTTTGCTGCACTGGAATTCTTCTTCATCCTCATCCTACTTCTTCTTCTTCTTCTTCTTCTTCATTCTTCTTCTTCTTCTTCTTCTACTTCTTCTTCTTCTTCATCCTCATC